GTGTGTGTGTGTGTGTGTGTGTGTGTGTGTGTGTCCCACAGGCCTACAAAGCTGTCGTCAATGACGCCACAATCTTCAAACTGGAGCTGCACGTCAAACAGAAAGGGTGGGTGGACTTTTCTGTTTGGACTGTTTTCTCTTTTCTTCAAATGAGTGATTATAATTTGGTCGTGTTTGTGTGTCTGTAACTGTCTCACCAGTGTGGGGATGAAGATCCAGCCGGAGTCCAAGTGTCCTGAGCTGCTGGCTAACTACTGTGACATGCTGCTGAGGAAAACGCCACTGAGCAAAAAACTCACCTCCGAGGAAATCGAGCTCAAACTCAAAGAAGTGGTGAGGACAGACCGAGTTTTGCGGCGCGCGCCAGGCAGTTTTTGGGGTTACCGTGTCTGGTGGAGATATGAGCGAATTATGAGAGTCTTTGGAATTAAATTACTAATCAAAATAAGTCAAAGTGAAGCTGCACACTTTCCTGTTTTAACAATAACTAATGGTTATAAAAAATAATAGCTATTATATTCCTTAAACTTCTTTAGTCCTCTTATATTACTGTTAAAGTCCTCATATATTTATGAGTCTCTCTGAACATCCGTGTGTGAAATACAGCGCTCTTTTCTCTGAGGCTGCCCTGAATGCATCACTCCGAGACGCTGAGAGACGATCAACGTAAATATTAGATCTCAGGTTTTTTTATTTCACTACAAACTCTGTTTAAATAAAGTTTACAGCTTCAACCCGAATCATCCCAAACTGTCAAAGGATCGATCCAGAGTCTGTGAGGCTCAGCAGGAACACACGACGACCTTCAGGAAACTTTGGACTGATATAGAGATCAGAGTCATGGATGAAGGAGGACCATCAGACTACAGGAGGTTCTGGAGGAGGGTCTGAGATACAGGAGTACTGTAGAGACCCTGGATGTAACAGAGGTCTCTCCAGTCTCTGTTAAATCTCTGCTCTCACTTTTTGAAGGCGTCAGTTTTTCACACCACTTTCCTTTTTTCTCCTAATTTCTTCCTTTTCTTTCTTCTGTTTTTGCAGCTCCTGGTGTTGAAATACGTCCAGAATAAAGACGTGTTCATGCGGTACCACAAAGCTCACCTGACCAGGCGCCTGATTCTGGACATTTCTGCAGACAGCGAGATCGAGGAGAACATGGTGGAGTGGCTGAGAGTGAGTGCAGCTGTGACACCAGAACCACCGTCCGAGTGTTTGAGCAGCTTCATAGACTCATTTAGTTAGACTTGAAATAAGTTAATTAGGGTTACTGTTTATGGACGTGTGACAGAACCAGAGCTGTGGTACCAGGACCGCTTTAGAAAAAACAGCAGAACCATTCGGATCAGAATCATGATGCTGTGTGTGTGTGTGTGTGTGTTTCCAGGAGGTAGGAATGCCTGCAGATTATGTGAACAAGCTGGCCAGGATGTTCCAGGACATCAAGGTCTCAGAGGACCTGAACCAGGTCTTCAAGGAGATGCACAAGCACAACAAGCTGGCACTGCCAGGTACTCCACAGACACACAGACTCACACTGCACACCTCAGGAGGTGAAGAGTGTGTTCAAACCCGTGTGTGTGTGTGTGTGTGTGTGTGTGTGTGTGTCCCTGCAGCAGACAGTGTCAACATTAAGATCCTGAATGCTGGAGCCTGGTCCCGGAGCAGTGAGAAGGTTTTCGTCTCTCTTCCCACGGAGCTGGAGGATCTGATCCCTGAGGTGGAGGACTTCTACAAGAGGAATCATAGCGGACGCAAACTCCACTGGCATCACCTCATGTCCAACGGCATCGTGAGTAAACGCCGACCAACGACCAGGAGAACCTGAGAGACTCAGAGTCCAGTTTTCTGTTTTTGGACCTTCAGAAAAGTGGAAATCTCATGTTGGTGTTGATGGTTTTCTTCTTTAGCTCTTTGACTTTTAAGTGGACCGCTGTCACTGAGTAAAGTAAGAGCAGAGCTGGATGAAAGATCCTGTCTCAAACCTCATCGTTCTTCTCGTGTTTCTCCTGTTTCCTGCTCAGATCACCTTTAAAAACGAGGTCGGACAGTACGACCTGGAGGTCACGACCTTCCAGCTGGCCGTGTTGTTCGCCTGGAACCAGAGACCCCGTGAGAGAATCAGCTTTGAGAACCTGAAACTCGCCACGGAGCTGCCGGACGCCGAGTTACGCCGAACACTCTGGGTCAGATGAAACGTTTTTAATCCTCTGGAATATTTCAGCAGGTTCAAAGACTTTTTTGTGTTTGTGGGTGAAGAAACAGGTCGACTCTTCCTGACAGCTTCTTCTAAAGTCTGTTCGATGGTTAAAAACTGAAACTTACACACGGGTTCAAACATAGATAACCTTTCTTAGATGTCCCCTCTCTCTCTCTCTCTGTCCTCATGTACAGTCTCTGGTCGCCTTCCCGAAGCTGAAGAGACAGGTGTTGTCTTATGACCCTCCGGTGAACTCGCCCAAAGACTTCACCGACAGCACGCTCTTCTACGTCAATCAGGAGTTCTCGCTCATGTAAGAAAAGAGAATTCATATTTTTATAAAAACCAGCAACTGAAGGAAGAATTCAACGATCTCCTGCTTAGAAATAGAAACACGGATGTTCAGACGTCTCAGAGAATCCACGTATCATTTGTTCATTTGATTTTCAAAGTAAAACCAAAAATGAAGAAATGAAAGAACTGATTATTTTCTAAATATTTGTCTCTAAAACGAAAATGAAAAAACAAATAACCGCTCATTTTCAGATTTCCGTTTTCTACAGCTTAAACAAAAATGGGGATAAATGGATAATGACGGTTTTATCTGATTTAGACTTTTTCATCTGTAGAAAGTTTCGTGACCTGGGAGTGAACCTTTGGTGTCCTGGCTGGACCTGAGAATTATTCAGAGCTCTTATGGACCTTTTCTCAGGTTGGCAAAACTCATGCAGAGGTTTCCACCGTGCTGCAGGAGAGCCAAGGTGCTCTGAAATGTCCGTCAGAAAGTTCCCAAAACGACCTGAGCAGAAAAGGACCCGTATCAGACACACAGCTGGGGACTAGTGCTGCAACTAACGATTATTTTTTTGTCGACTAGTCGTCCGATTAATCACGATTAATCACTATCTTCTTTGTTTATAAACACCTATTTCCGGGGTGTCGGTGTTTCAGGTGCTCATGCATCGCCGTGGTGCTGCCATGGTAGGAAAGCTGAGCTTTGATCGACGTGTTTTTTTTGGTTTGTTCTCCGTAAAATGTTCCCAAACTTTTTAAGTTTTGGGTCGGAGTTTTGGAGCGTCTTTTTCAGTTTGTTCTGCCATCATGTGTGCACTCTTCTTCTGTGTTTGCTCGCGGGATGTAAACAGCGAGCGCTACCGCCCCCAGCACATCCTGTAGTGCACTGCAGTTATAGATGAGCATGAGGCGCCGGCATGTGATTCTTAACAACAATAACACGACGCGTCGATGCTTCGTTTTCCTGTCGATGAATTTGTCGTGTAGACGTAATCGATTACGTCGACTAATCGTTGCAGCCCTACTGCGGACTAAGGCTGCACGATATTGGAAAAAAATAATATTGCGATTTTTTCAACCCTGCGATATATATTGCGATATTAAAAATACAGTATTTTCACCAGATGACCTGAATATCACTTAATGTTATGCTGCACTGCTGAAATCTTGAGGACAGTTAATCTGCTCTGATCTTACCTCTTTTTGTGAATGTTAGTAGAACGGCTTCTGTCTGTCTCAGAGATATTTTTAGCTTTTATTGTGCTGGGACGTTATTGTGGAAACAGATGAACACAGAACACGTGTTTTGGTCGACATCATCCTTCTTTTAACCGAAATAATTCCAGATAACTGACTTTCCTTTTCTTTTTGGCAACAAATCTTCATTTTCGGTGGTTTTCGCTTGTTCGTTGTTCATTTTGCGATCGTTGTTGTTGTTGTTAGCGGTGTTGTGCCGAGAAACGCATGTCCTCCGAGAATTGCATTCACCTCGCAAAACGCGCACTGCTTATAGTAGAGTGGTCCACAGAAATGTACAATTTAAAACCCATACAGTTCTTATTTGTTGGGCTTAATAGTCATGAGTAAAGTTCCGAAAGTAATTCTCAGCGGACACACGTCTCCCTCCATGTGCAGAACATGTGCAGGGGTGGGTTTTCTCCTCCCTGATTTTGATTGACAGCTGGCAGGGTAGTCTGATTGGCAACTGAAAAGTGAGTCTGATTGGCAACTGAGTTAAGGACGAAGGCGATTGGTGGATCGCTGCACAGCACATGCAGAGTCACATGGAGTGTATCTCAGTCAGTTACCCTTGAAATTAAATGAGTTCATTCGCCTCCAATATCGCAGGCTCTGCGATGTGACTATCGCACACACGTACATCGCGATGACGATAGTCAAACGATATATCGTTCAGGCCTACTGGGGACCACCCCCACAAAACCTTCTACAGATGAAAAAGTCTAAATCAGATAAAACCGTCATTATCCATTTATCCCATTTTCATTTGAGCTGTAGAAAACGGAAATCTGAAAATGAATGTTTGTTTTTTCATTTTTGTTTTAGAGACAAATACTAGAAGAGAAAAATTCGTTTTCTAATTTTTTCATTTTTGGTTTTATCTTGAAAATCGAATGAACGAATGAAACACAGATTCCAGAGATCGAATGTTTCCTATAGTTGTGTATTTCGCACAGATGTGACTGTAATAAAAAACTCCTGAAATTCGATTGTTTGAACATATAAAGTTCTTTTCAGACCAGAAAACCAGATCAGCCGCCTCAGGTCTACTTCAGTTATTGATCAGTCTGTGTGTCGGCGTCTGTCCTTCTTTCAGAAAAAACTCCAAAGTCCAGAAGCGAGGAAAGATCAATCTGATTGGTCGGCTGCAACTAACCACGGAGCGAATGAGAGAGGAGGAAAACGAAGGGATCGTCCAGCTCCGAATACTCCGAACTCAGGTGCAGAAACGTGGAAATGAATATTTGAAGATGATAAAGCGGAGCGTTAAATTCAGATCAACGTGAAATATTTAGTCCTCGGTCTCTGACGAGGAGTTACCGTGGAGTTTTAACGTCCGTGTGTTTTTGTTCAGGAGGCCATCATTCAAATCATGAAGATGAGGAAGAGGATCAGTAACGCTCAGCTGCAGACGGAGCTGGTGGAGATCCTGAAGAACATGTTCCTGCCTCAGAAGAAGATGATCAAGGAGCAGATCGAGTGGCTCATCGAGCACAAGTACATCAAGAGAGACGAGGCGGACATCAACACCTTCATCTACATGGCCTAGGCTGGTTCTCCGAGCGATGGAGCGCTTTCCTGCTCTGTGTTTAGTCCTGGCTGCCAACCAGTGCTTTCAAAACCTGCGAGGAGACGGAGACCGTGACGAAGAGGATGAAGAGGACGATGAGAAGGAGGGAGCGTTCATCGAGTGAGGAGGAGGAGGAGGAGGAGGAGGAGGAGGAGTCTCTCTGCAGAAGCTTGGACGGTGTTTTGTGTTTGTTAGACACCGGCGTGTTTTCAGAGGCCGAGGTTTGAGTCATCGAACTGCCCGAGACTGCAGCGCTCGCCATTTTCCTGCAGCTCAGCAGAAAAACTGAGAAATGACTTTATTGAATGAAATACTTCCTGCCTTACTTTCATCAGCAACAGACTGGAGAGGAGGAGGAGAAGAAGGATGAGAGGGAGTCACATGTCAGGAGCTGATCTCAATCCTTCGCCTTCACTTTACGCTCTCAGCCGCTCTGCGTCCCTCCGTCTGTAACCACATCTGTCCTTTTGAACCCGGAGGTGAGGACGCCAACGCAGAGACGTGGACACAGACGGAGAGATGAGCTGAAACTACCGAGGAGTATTTTGCCAAATTGTGTGTTTGTACATGTGTGTGTGTGTGTGTGTGTGTGTGTGTGTGTGTGTGTGTGTGTGTGTGTGTGTGTGTGCACTTTCAACAGCATGCTGCTTCATGATTTATGTCTGAGTTCGTGTTTTTTGGAGGATCTGTCAGACCTCACGGTCCGGTGATCATATTTAACGTCACGTTCTTCTGAGTGTCACAGGTTCAGTGTGTCAGCAGGTGAACGGTCGTGTGTGGGACAGTAGATTTGGAGTTTGAAGAACGTTTTCAGATGAAACACTGTTAGAGAAGTGACCGACAGGAAGTCAGAGAATAGAAACAACAAACTCTTAAAAAACGTCTCTCCTCACTGAGTCCATCATCAGAGATCTTTGCACAAAATCAGCACCAGAGAAACCCTCTCAAACTGATCAAGCTGCTTCCTGTCGGACTCTCATGGAGGATCTCATCTTCTTCATCTTCTTCATCTTCTTCATCTTCTTCATCTTCTTCACCTCCTCTAAGTTCATTGGCTGCCCCCCCCACCCAACCGCCTAAACTCACAAATCAGCTGCTCTCTGTCACTGAAACATCTCCGTCTGTCTGAAAGTGATCGTGTTAAAGTAAAGCAGCTGTGATGAAGCTTCATGGTGATGATGATGAAGATGGTGGTGATTAAGGTAATGGTGATGATGATCATGATCATGATAATGGTGATGATGATGATGGTAAAGATGAGAATAATGATGATGAAGATGATAAAAATGATGATGATGATGATGATCATCATCATGATCACGATGATGATGATAAAGATGAAAATGATCATGAAGATGTTGATGAAGATGATAATTATGATGATGTTGATAATGGTGATGATGATGATGATGATAAGGATGACGGTGATGAAGATGATGGTGATAATTATGATGATGATGATGATGATGATGGTGATGAAGATGATGAAGATGAAGATGGTGATAAAAACGATGTTGGTGATGATGATGATGATGATGATGATGATGATGATGATGATGATAAGGATGACGGTGATGAAGATGATGGTGATAATTATGATGATGATGATGATGATGATGATGGTGATGAAGATGATGAAGATGAAGATGGTGATAAAAACGATGTTGGTGATGATGATGATGATGATGATGATAAGGATGATCGTGATGAAGATGGTGATGATGATGGTGATGATGGTGATGGTAACCATGATAAAGATGAAAATGATCATGAAGATGTTGATGAAGATGATAATTATGATGATGTTGATAATGGTGAAAATGATGGCGATGAAGATGATGATGGTGATGATGGTGATGATGAAGATGAAGATGATGATGGTGATGATGTTGATGAAGATGATAATTATGATGATGTTGATAATGATGAAGATGATGATGATACGTCCAGGTTTCTTGTTCCTCTCTGAGTTTCCCTCTTTGGTTTCCTGTTTTCGTTTCCGTTATTTCGTCATTTTCATTTATTTATTTCAGAGTTTTTCAGAGTCCTTTACCGAGGAATCAGAGGTCAGTGGAGGTCAGTGGAGGTCAGTGGAGGTCAATATCAGGTAAACTTTTAGGGTGAAGCTGATGACATCCTGCAGTAGACCTCTGTGTTACTGAGTCAGCTCTGTGTTTTTGCTCAAAGACAGGAGAGCAGGTTTCAAAGGTAGGACAGTTACAGTGACTCGGGTTAACGTGGATCATTAACCGTGTTTGTATGTTGGATGGCGGACATTGTTGTTTAGACAGAGTGAGAGTAAATTGAGGAGAGAAGGATCAGTGTGTGTGTTAAAGACGTTCAAACAAAGAGAACAACAGGAAGTCAGGAGGAAAGTCGATTGTTTGCCCCCCGTAGATTTCTGAAAGACTGATATTTTCTGGGATCGTAAAATAACCTGTTAATCTGAGAGTCGTTAAAAACAGCTGGATGTGGGGTGAGTTTTCGGTCTCATTGTGAGAGTTGTTGAGTGAAAGATGAATTCTTATTGGGACGGAGAAATCTCCTGAGATCGGAGCTGGATGAACAAAAATCCAAATTTGGTTTTTGTGTTTCTCCCGAATTTCCCCTCGTCTATTTCTTTAGAGATCTAAAAACTGAGGAACTGATCCTGAATACCAATCGATCAATCTTCATTTATAAATCTCCAGTTCACAACAACAACAAAAAATACTCTGAATGAGAAAAATCACAGTTTGATCGTTTATGACGAGACGATCAAAACTGAACCAAACAAAGTCCTCCTGTGGTTTTTAAGTTTCATCGAGTTTAACTGAAAATCAAAGAGTCGTGTGTGTGTGTGTGTGTGTGTGTGTGTGTGTGTGTGTCAAAAACACTGTAAAAACCAGGTGACAGGTCATGTGATCACTGCTCTAATCTAATCTAAGCTGGTGACAGTCGTTGATCGGAGGATTACGATCGTCTCTGATTTCAGACGTTGGAGTTAAACTGATGAGATCCTGTGATCAGAGAGGAGGAGGACAGACGACCATGAATGTTTTTTTGTTTGTTTCATATTTATTCTTTATTTATAAAGACGGTGACTTTCTCCGTCCGTTCAGATATTTCTGTTTCCTGTTCTGGTGATCTCATGTTTTCTGAGCTGATCCTGCACGTCTCTCCTCTGCTGTACTTGAAGAAAAACTGTTGATTCATTTCATACCTGCAGTTAGTGGATTAAAAACTTTCTTTAAACCCTTCCTGAAAGTAGGAGACTGGGACTGGCAATAATAAGATTTATATTTGACTCACTTTATGAAAACTAAGAGGAAACAGATTTATTGTCCAGTCTGACTGAACGACACGTTTTTGACAGACTCTCCTCATTGATCCTGTTCTTCAGTTTTTCTGGTTCTTTGTGCACAGAGACGCTCAGACGACGATGAACTGAACTCTGAGATGTCTTCAGATACATTAGTAAAGCTCAGTAAAGGGATCCCAAGTGATCTGGGACCGTCTGGATGTGGATCTTATTTTCTTTGTTTGTCCCACCTTTACAGAAAATCTGTTACATGAACCAGTCAAGAATTTCTGCCTCTGGTTCTTGTTTAGATTGAAGAGAAAATTTGCCTTTAAATGGTTTAAGATTCTTCTTGGACTGTATGAACTCAACTAAAACTGAATAATAGTACAGAGACGTGAGGATCCATCCGACGCTGCAGTCACACGTCGACCTGTTCAGGATCTGCTTCATCACTTTCTGGAGTTTAAACAATCACAGAAACTGTATTCAGACCTCCTCAGAGCCACCGCTGGTTTTTTAAATAGATCATAAAAAACAGGTCCTTGATAAAAATCAGGTCACATGGAGTTTAAGTTTGTAAGTCTGCAGTCATGATGTCAAATAATCAACTTTAAGAAAACAGAAATATTTCAGTTTACTCCTTTTTTCTTAAACTTCAGGTTCACAAACGCAGATCTTTAAAAAAGGTAGAGTTAATATTGAGTGAGACTCTTTTCAGTGACGTTAATATAAATGTGAACTCTGAGTTAATGATAGTTAATGATAACTTTAATATGTTTCCTGGAGGATCAATCATCAGCACTCTGATCGCCTCACGTTTGCATTTGTTGGCTTTAAAAGAACCAAAATCCTGTTTTTCCCGACGATCTGAAAACTGAAGTCATTCCTCCTCATCGTCCTCTGGACTGACAGTGAACTGGTCCGGACCTTTTAATGATGAAGGTGAACTGGTCTTACAGACTGGTTTAAGCTTCGTTCAGATAAACTGACAAACTCCTGTAAGAGTTTATTTTTCAAGATCCCATCAGGAGACAACTCAAAATCTTTCTGTTCTTTTTTAAATTCATTTTCACAAACTCTAAATCTGTGTAACTCTATCAGAGTCCATCCTTTTCCATCAGATTTCACCGTGGCCTCAAAATGTTTTTTATCCTTTAACTTCTAAAAATCTGTGACTTGTCTGTGAACTTGTCTTACGTCTCACCGTCAGCTGTAAGTTTATTAGACTCACCTGTTCGTGCTCTTTAAAACGTTCTGTCTCTGATCAGGATTTAAAACGTGTCCGTTAATCTCAGTATCACCACCAAGCTCACAGATAAACGAGTCATACTCTAGAGGGATACGTTTTATGTTTCTGTATTTTCATGAATTATGCACAAGAGGGAAAATACTTTAAAAAACCTCAGTATTATGCAGTCCAGTGAAAATCTATCAATAATAATGAACTCAGTGCTACAGCATTAGACTTTACGGACACGTCTCAGAGCATACAAACAGAGAAATAAAGACACAGTGACCGTGTGAACATGGTGGTGTGATCCACCAGACCCCACAGTTCAGAGTGGATTTTTCAGATTATCAGACAACTTTATCATTTTTATTGATTTATCTCTGCGCAGCGAGTTTTCATGTCTTCTGTCAATCAGTTCAATGTTTGTGTGAGTCTGAGCCAACGTTCGACTTCTCAAAGAAAACTGAAAATGTTTTTAGTCATCTCTGGTTCAGTACAGACAGCACACCGAGGCCTCTCTCCTTTACCTGCTAACTTTTCAAACGTAAAATTGTACATTATTGTTCTAAATCATTGTTAAAGAAGTGCTGAATGTGTTCGACTCTCTTCATCCATGATCAGTAGGAGTTTGTTAAACTCTCTGTCCTGCTGAAAGATGGTTTGGTTCAGAAAGTGACCATGTTTTTCCTGCTGTGGTACGAGAGCTGTGTTTATTCTGTTTTTCTCATTCTGAACTTGATCACCTGCTCACTGGCCAACACAGGGGGGCCGACCCACCTGTAGCCTTGTAAAAGACAAGACTTGAAGTCAACACAATCAGTGACAGCCTACACTAACTGAATGTTGCAAAAACTTTGTGTTGGAGTGGAAGGAGAGTGGTTCGACCACTTTCACATGCTGCATTGTTTTCTTTGTTTCAAATGGTTTCAATATTTATTTCCTGGCAAAATAAAGAAAACTGATACGACACATTTTTGTTGGATGTCCGTCCTTCACGTCCCGTTACGGCTGGAATGTGGTTCTAACTTTTAAAGCAAAGTCACTTCTGAAGTCGCTTCTCCAGAATGAGCTTTTATGTTGTCAGGGGACGTGTACGGTGGTCAAAAACTGCCACTGCTGCAAATAAAAAGAGAAGTCACAATAAAAGTTACTGATGGGGAAAAAAAAAAGAAACGGAGCATTTATTTGCAGCGGGCCTCTTGTCTTTTTTTTTTTTGTTTTTCATTTGTAACTTCCGTTGGGACTTTTTTTATTTTTGCATCCTTTTTTTATTTGCAGTAGTGGCAGTTCTTGGCCACCGTAGCTACACCAAGTCTATGACAGGAATATGAGTCACATAAAAACGACCTTAATAGAGATTTCTCTGATGTGGGACATGATCATCAGGAGGAGCAGCCTTCAGTGAATGACTGTGAGGTTTTCTACAGTCACCATCTCAAACTACAACCATGAAGAAAGAGAAGAGTCAGAGTCAACCGAACAGGAGCAAACATACCCGCTTGTACAGTTATTAAAAATCAAAGACTGTTTTATAGCCTGTTACAGTGAGTTACAGTAACCGTCTAAATCAGAACATGTGAAGCTAAAAACAAAGGCCGTGTTGCTTTAAAAGATGCTCGTCTCATCCTCATGTAACACGGAGGGTAAATGTTCATTATTTATTTTTCCACGCGGCGTTTTCTCCTCAGGAACACCGTACATTCAGCTAAATAAAGATTAAAATTAAGTTATTGTGATTATTATTAGTGAGAAACGAGCGCTTATCGATATTTTACCGCGAATGGAAACGTTTATTTCGCAACACACCCCTACAAGGCAGTGGTATCGTCCACTCCCCGGAAACCCGGGCGACAGCTAAAACCATAGACATCTATATATACGCTAGATGACTTACGCACCCGTTAGCCAATGGAGACCGACCTCCGCGCATGGCGGCCATCTTGCTACGAGACGCTCGTCCACTCCTAACATTCCAGTCTACGGTTCATGTAACATTTAAATAACCGTAGATTGATTCATTTTACACCGATTTTCAAACAGTTTAGTTTGTAACAAACCTCAGAGTTTTAGTTATGTTCCTGCATACTGAAGAATAATTTTAACCATGGATTTACATAAATAAACATTAAACAGATAGGTAGAGCAATAGCTATAGGCCTACACACCCAGGCAGTTATATTAAATCATTTATATAAAAATCATTACATGTATGCTATATTAGTAATATTTCTAATTTATGGATAACTATAATAACATATAACAATAACATATAAATATTTATTTTCTATATAAATTTCTGCCTCATGTTTCCATATTAGATGTTTTTAACAAACCAAACAGTTTGGAAATCATGAAAAACTTCAGTTATGTTGAATCTGAAGAGCATTTCTGCCTCTTTAACTGATGTAAAACTACTGGGTTAACTTTATAATATGTACTTGGTCTCTGTTAGCCAAGTTAGACAGCTAGTCTGTAATAAACTAAACAGTTTGTAAATCTGTCAAGATTTCAGCGAGTTAAGAGGATTTTTGATCATGTAGATTAATCACCTCCTCAGCTACAATAGAGCGAACCAGAATGGTATACTGGAGTAGGATGGCCGCTGCGCAGGGACGCCGTTGACTCCGCCTCACAGAGTCATCTAGTATTTCTTATATCTATGCCTAAAACCCCGGTGTGAGTGAACCGATAATTCTGTCCGCCGGAGAAAGAAACACCCAGTAAAGGTCGGTACTTGGTGTTATTTCTAGGATTTCATCTATAGTTGACTTTCAAAACGTTAATATTATACCTGTCCTGTTTAATGAGTGAGTTCAGATTAATTTATTGATCCTTTAACGTTAATGTTGACAAACGAGCTAACGTTAGCATCAGTGTAGCCATGACAGCCGCTCCGTCAGTTTAGACCAAACAAAAGAGACCGAGTCTCAAACTAAAGCTGATATTCTGTTCCAGCAGAGGACTGAGAGTGTAGAGAACACCGAGCTCTTTACAGCTGAGAGATAAACTCAACATTTTTAGACTGATCACCTTTAATCAATACAAGCTGGCACCGACGGAAGCCGGGTGGCCGTTAAAAAGTCAAACCGTTCAGCGTTAAACCGAGTCCGGAAATGTGGTTATCGGTCTGAGTCTGTGATCGGAGAATCGATTAATTTATCGACCGATTTTACCTCCTCTGAGTGAAAGAAAACAGGACTGAGAACAGCAGAGATTAACGAGAACAAGAACTGTTGATGCAGGAATATGGAAATAAATCCACTAAAGGTGTTTATTTTGACACTAAAATATCACCTACATAGAGTCCTGGAGGTGTTCAGGTGCTGAAGGGATGCAAAATGACAGACAGTAACCCCTCCTGCTGGGTATCTGATTTACGTTGAGATGGTTCGGCTGCAGTCAGACAAGATTTCTCCTGACTCAGAAACAGAAGAGTTCAGTATGTTGACTTTCCTCTGAACTGACAGCGTCTGTTTTGATCGTCTCTGTTCTCAGGAACAAGTTTCACAGACATCTTCACAATATCTGAAACGCTGGACAAGCTTGTAAGTATTTCAGCCTTTTAAATGCTGTGAGTTCATCTAATGCAGCTCAAACCTTTACACTCACACTCACACATATTCGACCTTTTCACCTGAGGTTCTGATTTCTTTTCTTCCAGAATCTTTCGAATCTGAATGGACAGGGCGGTCAGAAGTACACAGGTATGACCCACATCAGCTGACTGTTGCTTGGTGTTGTTGGCGTTGACAGATGTGTGTGTGTGTGTGTGTGTGGTCTCATGGTTCCCCTGCTCAGATGAGTTTCTGATGAATCTTGTCCTCTGTGTAGCCCAGCTAGTGAAGCCCATCAAAGGTTCAGTGATGCCTGTGAAGAAGAAAAGGAAGGTCCTTGACACGGACGATGGGCCCAAATGTAAAATAACCAGGTAAGCAGACATTCACTCACGGTGTGGCTTCATGTGTTTTTTTGTTGATCCTGGCAGAACACTTCAAGAGCTAAAGTCCCTCTTTGTTTGTTTGTTGTTTTCCTCCTGGTATCACTTGAGATGACTGTTTTATCGTTTGTTTGTTTTGTGTTTCAGTTTCACTCGACCTCAGATCCGTGGGACCCGGCCGATCTCGGACAAACTGTTCTCTGGGAAGAAGTGCCTGGCCTGGTTCGACAAGTACGCTGGTGCTGACAAGGTGGTCGGTCCAGAGGCCATGGAGAAGTTCTGTGAAGACATCGGTGTGGAACCCGAGAATGTAAGCCAGCGTGTCCCTAACGTGAACCTCTCTGACAGTGTTTTATTCTCTAAACGAACTATCACTGAGCTCTAACTGGAGGAGGAGAATCAGAACCTGAACACTGAGTGATGGTGTTTCCTCTCCGTCCTTCAGATCATCATGTTAGTTTTAGCCTGGCACCTGGAGGCAGCGAGTATGGGCTTCTTCACTAAAGATGAGTGGCTCAGGGGAATGACGTTACTACAGTGAGAGCTTTGTATTATTAAACTCTGTATAAAAATATTTATTAATTATCGGTTGTATTCATCGTCTTTGTTCTGCAGCCAATCAGAGCTCTGTGTTTGTTCTGGTCCCTGTAGATGTGACTGCACAGAGAGGTTACAGAGTAAACTGGATTACCTTCGCAGTGAACTCAACGACTCCAGTGTTTTTAAAAACATTTATAGATATGCCTTCGATTTCGCCCGGGTGAGTCTGCTGTTTTCAAACATTTCCATATTTCCGATGATGAAACTTTGCCGTCCGACTCTTCCGTGGTTTCTGGTCGGCTCAGATTTTGGTGGTTTTTCTCAGGACAAGGACCAGAGGAGTTTGGACATGGACACGGCCAAATCCATGCTGGCCCTGCTGCTCGGAAGAACATGGCCGCTGTTCCCTGTCTTCCATCAGTTCCTGGAGGTAAATCACTGAACTGTGTGTGTGTGTGTGTGTGTGTGTGTGTGTGTGTGTTTGAGTTGGGACGTGTTCACAGTCAAAGAAGTAGGGCTGGGCGATGTGGACCAAAAATCATATCCTGATATATTTAGACTGAATATCGATATATGATATTTATCCTGATATTATTGTTGCAAAGTGAGAGCAGATGTTTAGTCACAGTCAAAGACAAAAATGACATTTCACAAGTATTTCTGTTCAAACTGGCCGACAGTAAAATATAAACATAAATACTGTATAACT